TCATCAGAGTCTGACTAGAAATGTCTGGTCTTCATCTCAGAATTTGGCTTACTATCAGAACACTATGAAGTAACAATAAATGTTTAGTCACTATCTTGATGACTTGCATCAAATATTAGAAAATTTTCATTTGTTCTTCCAGAAACTATAATTGTGCCACCATAATGTGCATAACAACATGTCATCATAAGGTTCAGCACCGGAACCATTTCCCGACTAACCATGCATTTCGAACATGTCTTATGACCATGTCTTCTGAACATGTCTTGGAACATGTCTTAGTTAATGTCTTAGAACTTGTCTTTAGACCATTATCATACCCCAAATTTTCCCTACCCTTATTTATATTTAGGTTTCCTTTAAATTAATTGTATTATTTAATTTTTTTGTTTTTCTGCAGGGGTGTAAAACATAAAAGAAGGGGTGTTGGTTTTAAAATGGACCATCAATATCTGATGGCCCATTGGGTTTTCAAAAGAAATGTCCATTTCAAGTCAATGAGAGGTGTATTTATTTTAAACAAGGTGTGGACAAATCACTATTGAGGCCCATTTTAGTTTTCTTAATAAAGCGATTTTTCCAAAGTTCATTTTAGCAAGCCTTTTTGAAACTTTGTTTGTTTTAAAAAAGGTTTTGTTTTGTTTTTTAAAGACTAAGCAGGCTTGATAAACTGCAGGCCCATTACAGATTATCGAGGCATGTGATTAAATCATTTGCAAGTTATTTTGCTGAGGCCCAATTGAAATAGCATGGTATGTTTAACTTTTTTGTTTAATTTAAAAATTAATTTTGTTTATTATTAACATTTTATTCATAATATACTAATATTGATTATATTTAAAATATATGTATTAAACTTAATTTGGTTTAATTATTAATTGATTAAAAAGAATGGTTTTCTACTTTACTAATTAAAAGGGCTTTTTGTTTTGTTGATTAAAACTCACGTTCCAAGGCCAACTTAGTCTAGAAGCTCAAACACACAATAGGCCAAAAACAAGACAATGCATGGCCCTATCCAAACTAGAAAAATACATCCTTTTTGTTGCAAACATGAAATGATCATTGTACATATAAGAGAAATAAAACGCGTGTTTTAAAAGGGAATAGCTGCTACTGTTCAAATCAAACAAGACAAATCGTTCTGTACATTGATTATCCAAATTTATTTACAATCAAAGTGAAGAACAAATATGCAAAAATAGAAACAAATTGTTTTATTACAAAAATATAACATTATTCAATTAAATCATAGAAAACATTCAAAAAATCCTAATTCTAAAACCCTAATCAATTCTGGAAATAAATTTACAGACACACTTAAAATCTTTCCTAAAACTATTCCTAAAAAATCACTATAAAAATACCTAGAGCAATCTACAGAAGAGACAAAGAAAGATAAGAGGAGATTGGCGGAGAAGAATAATTACGAAAAAAAGAAAGATTTTACGGAGGAAAAATTGCAGAGAAGGGAAGCTTCGTTTTCATCAGCACCACAGATTCGCGTCCGCCATGGTTTTAGCTTAGGGTTTCAATATCTGAAACCATAGCTCTTCAATTGTTGCACCGTTCCACCACCATCGCTGTCGTCGTACTTGAAAAATGAAATAAGAAGGAATAAGAACCAACGAAAACAGAGAGAAAAACAAATTCACGAACGAGTTAATAGAACCCTAGCTTTTGTTTTTTTTTTTGCAATTTTGATGGTTAATGTTTGATTTGGGGTTTGTTGGGTTGATTTTGGGGGGAACGGGGGTTTGATCGCTCGCCATCATCTTTGATTGGAGAACTAGGGTTAGGGTTGCGGTGAGAGGACAAGGAATGATGAGAGGCGGAGAAAGAAGAAGATAATAACAAGTGAAGGGGTTTCATTTGATAAAAAGAAAATAAATATGTGTAATAATTTCGTACATGCGCGCTCATAGCTGTTACCACATACCCTCATTAATAGCTGCGTGAACTTGATCACACGCCCCCTAGCATGCGCACTTATGGTTACTACCGTGCACTTTCATGCACGGAGTCCAAAAGAAACGAATTCTCTAAATTATCTTAGGCCTCACCGCTGGCCCATTTTCTAAAACACACCCTCATTTTTTGGTTTTACTGGTATGAACAAAAAACACATACCCTGCCCCAATGGGCCCAGTCCAAAATCTGGACTTGGGCCCTACTGATTTACGCACCCCCCATTTTACTGTACAAACTCAAAAATGCACCCCAGCTGTTTGTGGATTGAATTTAATATCTGAATTCAAGCCCACGCTACTTGTACCCTACCATTTTACTACTTCAATTATATTCACCCCCCCTGCATTTTAATTTTAATTTTATTTTATTGTTTTATTATAATTATTATTTTTTTATATATTTATATGTTAATAATATATTTATTTATTTATTACTATAAACCAATTTTTTTTAATTCATAAAAAAAATTATTTATTGTATTAAATTATATCTTTAATCATGCATATTTAAATAGATATTTTTTTATAATTAATATGCTTACAAATACTCAAACAAACATCAAACTGTTTTTTGTAATAAATTAATGCAACAATCAAATTTCAAAAATATTATGATAATATTTAAATCGATTGCAGGCTTGATCTAAAAATCTCCGCCATTCGCACACCTAGGCTAAGCGCGCATAAAATTCGAATATTTGTCGTAATCCGTAAAAAGCACAAACAAAACCACGAACTACGAAATGAGACTCTGATTCCTCCTAAGAGGATACTGTAGCGGTGAAAATCGGAGATCAAGCTATTAATTAACTTGACTCACAAAAAGCAAGAGTCGCCACCGCGCTTTATTATTTCCAAGGGAAAAGGGAAAAGAGCGAAATAAAACCCTAAAATATGCAATGTAAACTAATACTTAAAAGTAATAAAAATATAATGCATTTTGAAAGAGATCGAGAGTTCGGGGGTTGGTTATACAATGGGAAGGTATTAGCACCCAATGCATCTGCGGTACTCCGCAGGAACCTTTTGAAATATCTATTTTTTTGGTTAAAATTGTTTGTTTGATTAAAATGGTTCGTTTGGCTAAAAGATGGGTATGGACGAGATTTTTGAAGATACGACGACCTAGTGTCGAAGTTTTAACTTAAAAGGTGTGAGTTTGAAAATGGAGTCTTTTGGGAAAATTATCTTAGGTTTAACAAAATAGTAACAAACAAAAGATGAATGAGGGTATTCGCACGATTGTAGAAGATGTATTCGATGACATGAAGTCAGCTGAGTTGAAAGATTTCCCTTGGAATAAATCGAGCAAGTAAAATAAGATGAATCCACAAAGTATAAACATTCAAAAATTCACAAGAAAAACAAATCTAATGAAACAGATTAATGACCAAAAGCATCGAGAAATTGAAATGACAAAGATATTTAAATAGAATAAAAGAGAATGTAACTAATTATCTAAAGAAGTTATTCGAACTAAATTAAAAATTACTTACTAAAATAATTCTAAACTAATTACAAATTCTAAGGTTATAAAAAAAAATCTAGTATTATTGAATTTGATCTAAACTAAACTAAAGCTTTAAAATTTAGTAAGTTAAATCTAGATTAAATTAAAATCCTAAGGTTACTAAATTAAATCTAAAACAAATGAAAATTCTAAAACTACTAAACTAAATTTAAATCAAATAAAAACTCTAAAGTTATTAAACTAAATAAAAATTATAAACTTATTAAACTAATTCTAAATCAAATAAAAATTATAAATTTATTAAACTAATTCTAAATCAAATAAAAATTCTAAAGTCACTAAACTAAAACCAAACAAATAAAATTCTAAAGTTAACTTAAATAAAATCAAATAAAATTCTAAATTTTACTAAATTAAAACTAAAACAAATAAAATTCTAAAATTTACTAAGTCAAATCTAAATGGAATAAAATCCTAAAGTTACTAAAATAAAACTAAAACAAAATAAAATTCTAAAGTTTACTAAGTCAAAAACTAAAACAAATAAAACTCTAAAATTTACTAAGTCAAATCTAAATGAAATAAAATCCTAAAGTTACTAAAACAAAATAAAATTCTAAAGTTTACTAAGTCAAAACTAAAACAAATAAAACTCTAAAATTTACTAAGTCAAATCTAAATGAAATAAAATCCTAAAATTACTAAAATAATACTACAACACATAAAAATTCTAAAGTTTACTAAACTAAAGCTAAAACAAAAAGTTATAAAATAAATCTAAATTAATACTAAACTAAATTAATTCTAAACTAAAGATTAAAATTCTAAGACTAAATTAAAATTCTAAAGTTATCAAAATGTATCTACACTAATTAGAAGTTCTAAAGTTATAAAATAGATCTAAACAAATTGAAATTTCTAAAGTTATCAAAATATACCTAAACTAATTAAAGGTTCTAACATTACTAATTTATATCTAATTAAATTAAAATTTTAAAGTTATTAATTATGATTCTAAATATTCTAAAGTTATAAAATACATCTAAACTAATTAAAATTCTAAATTAATACTAAACTAAATCTAAATATAAGATTTACTAATATTTTTTTATATTTTTTTTTTGGATAACATAGTTTAATAAAAAATGAAAATAGTAGAAGTCTAAATATTTTTTTACATGAGATTTTTCAAAAGACAGGAGGGCAAATGGACTATTAACCTTAAACATAACGAAACAAAGTTGTTACTGCAACATACACATACATGTTAAACACTTAATGAAAAGGAATTAGAAGAAATACTAGAGTTTAACCAATTCAACATTTGAGGCATCCTATGGGCAATTGACATGTGGCATATTTAATTAAAAATAAAAGCAACAAAACAACATAATACACACCTAGAGAGAGAACGAAAACAACCGCAACACATTGAATGGTTCTTCTTCTTTCTCATACAACAACCTTTTCTTTCAAATTCTTTCAAATTCTTAACACCAAAAACAAGAACATAACACATGAACAAGTCAAATCAGAGGGGAAAAAAAGAGGAATACCGATCATTGTGGTACGATTTTGGCTTTGGTTTCTGGTGGTGCAGATCTCGTCGAGAGATTCTTTGGAGGAGCAGAGGTTGTGCGCTTCATGGAGGTGGTGTCGCGACGGTTGTTGCGGATTTGCAGTGGAGGGCGGTTCGATGAAAAGGATATGCTGGATAGGAAAACGACTGCTGTGGCACTGGTGGAATCCGCGGATGGCAGAATGATCGGCGATGTGAGGCAGAGGACAGCTTCTTCGAAGATCTGCGGAGGAACGGGAATTTACCAGAGCTTATGTTTAGAGAGTTGAATGAGTTGAACGGAAGAAGTTTCACCGGAAAATTCAGGTTCAAAATCTATTTTGATTCTGTCACGGTAACCTTAGTAGTAGTAGGAGTTAGGACTTCCACTTTGCAGCGCAACACCTCAGTGTTGATTTGGTCAAACAAATTGTAAACTTCAAAGACAGCATATCTCACCATATCCAACCATTCCTTGAAATCAGCATCGTCATTAAGTAGAATTAGAATCCTCACCAGTGTGTTCTTCAGCTTTTTCAAGAGTGAAACGTCAACCTTCGTTCTCCGGAACTTGTCTATGAAATCTGTAGAAGCAAGCTTTTCTAACAACGCATGTACAGAGTTTTAGAGGAGTACTGTGTTGCTTTTTTTTGTCGTGTGTGTCTTATGTATGTGTGTTGGGTAATAGATGAAAGGGTGTATGATGGTGGTGTTGCTTTTTGACAGAAAGTGAAGGAAGTTATATGTGGGGAGAGGATGGAAATAAAAAGAAAAAATATGTTGGGCATTGGAAAGAGAGAAAAGGAAATACTGTAGGTGCTATTTTTTTGTCTTTTTGTTTTATTGGTAGAGAAAGAGATAAGTCCCCCTTACAAAGAGATAAAGAAACTTAAAAATAGAAAAAATGAAAAGGAATAAATCCAAGCCGTTCAATATAAACCCAATCTCTATCAATCCGCAAATCATGCTATCAACCAATAAGAATTGAGCAAAGTCTAATTAATATTTTTTTGTGACCAAAAAGTCCCTGAATGACAAAAATAAAATAAAACCTGAAATTATAAAAAATAACTCAATTTAAAATGATTTTTTTGAATATTTTATGAATAAAAAATAAAGACCCAAAATGATCGAAAATGATAAAAAACGGACGAAAATTTATCCGAAAAAATAAAATGAACACATTAAAATAACCTACATGTCACAAAGATTAAAGAAAAAATATTCAAGAAGTCAAAAAATCAAAAATAAAATAGTAATAAAAATATTAGACTAAACAGACGTTTAAGGTTAAAAACGAGACCTCGAACTGTACCGAAAAAATAAAGCGAGCATACCGTCATAATCTACGCGAAGCGCAGATTCATAAAATGATCGGTAAAAAGGTGAAAACTTGAAATATTTTTCTCGCTAATTTTTCGTACATTGTTGAATCGCTTTTAACAGTTTGTCTATAAAACCAAAATATTTTTATTATCGACATATAAATAACTTGGAGCAATGCAAGAAACGAGTAAAGAGATAAAAATGCATGAAGTGAAATGTCAGGTATTTTACAACTGAAAGACGATGCAAACTTTGATTTAAACTGACTTTTTCTAATCAACTTAAATACGACTAATGATGCAAAATATGATGAATGAAGATATTTACTAATGATCGTGACCAAATAACAAAATATGATATGAAAGTGCGATTAAAACATGTTAGGGGCGAAATCTAGGGTGCAACGGTGTGCCTTGATGAATCAGTCTTCGAGAATCCACAATCAACCGTACTTCAGGCTTGGGAGACTCAAAACCTTAATTGAGGCGTGACACTTGATGCTCTTGATTCAGACCTGTCTCTGCACATGAAGCAAAAGGAAACATGAACATACACCTTCGTATGCGATTAGAAGTTAGTGATACATAGGCTCAAAATGTTCAAAACACTTGACAATCTTCGCATAGTCAAAGCTCGAAAGTGAGACGTTAAAACCGACCGTATTTCGTGACCTTGACTTATCTTAAAATGCAAAAAATAAAAATGGGATCTTAGGTCAAAAATTGGGGTACAACAGCTGCCCCTATTTAAGTTTCTTCTATCTGGAGATATGAAGATTGGGATCTTCATTTCGATGAGATTGAAGGGACTTAAATATATAATACACAATTTGTGGCCTTAAGATACCGCAATTATGTTTATGATATGATATGAATGTGATGTTTTGAATTTTATGGGGAATGACGCCATATGAGACAAACTATGCTGGAGAAACCAAGCATATTATACAGTAATCCCACAGAGGAAGAGATTGTAACTCCACTGGGGAAACAGAGTCATAGACTTCAAATGAGACTCTTGAATGATTTACATCAATATTGAGACTGGAAAAGGTAATGATTTACATCAGTACTGTGACTGGAAAAGCATATGATTGACATCAGTACTGTGACTGGAAAAGGAAATGATGGACATCAGTACTGAGACTGGAAAATGATTGACACCAGCACTGTGGCTGGAGATAAACTTCTCTGATTTCTGAATTTTACCAAGAACGGTAACACATTTCTTCTTTAACCAAGATATCGCTTGAAAAGGATAAAATAACAAACTTCCCCACGGGACTTTTCCGAAGGGATGCCATTTGCTGAGTAGACATTATTGTTGGGGATACACAAGCTGCTCAAATAAAGAGGCCGCCACTTGCTTCTTTTCAAAGGTGTCAATAACATACAAGCTGCTCATGAAGAAACCGCCACTTGCTGTCTTCAAAGAATATTAAAGCACACAAGCTGCTCATGAAGAGTCCGCCACTTGTTGCCAAAAACCCACAAGTTGCTCATAAAGAAGCTGCCACTTGCTGTCTTCCAAAAATACTAACGTACAAGCTGCTCATGAAGAAGCTGCCACTTGCCATTTTTCGTACAAGCTGCTCATGAAGAGACCGCCACTTGCCATTTTCAAAAGGTGTTGATAACATACAAGTTGTCCATGAAGAGACTGCCGCTTGCTGTTTTTCAAGAGAACAATAACATGCAAGTTGCTCATGAAGAGACCGCCGCTTGCTGTTTTCAAAGGTGTCAATAACATACAAGTTGCTCATGAAGAGACCGCCGCTTGATGTTTTCAAAGGTGACAGTAACACACAAGTTGCTCATGAAGAGACCGCCGCTTGCTATTTTTCAAATGTAGCAATAACGATACAAGTTGCTCATGAAGAGACTGCCGCTTGTTATTTTCAAAGGTGATAATAACATACAAGTTGCTCATGAAGAGACCGCCGCTTGTTGTTTTTTCAAATGTAGCAATAACAATACAAGTTTCTCATGAAGAGACTGCCGCTTGTTGTTTTCAAAGGTGATAATAACATACAAGTTGCTCATAAAGAGACCGCCGCTTGTTGTTTTTTCAAATGTAGCAATAACGATACAAGTTGCTCATGAAGAGACTGCCGCTTGTTGTTTTCAAAGGTGATAAAAACATACAAGTTGCTCATGAAGAGACCGCCGCTTGCTGTTTTGTTGAAGATACTCATAAAATATCGTGAAGATATTGCTGGAGGTGAGAATCAATAATTTCATCGGGGATGGACAAACTGCTCATGAAGAGACCGCCATTTGTCATAACATAAAGAAATTCAGAAATAATCAAACTGCTCAAATAAGGAGTCAGTCGCTTCTTGTCACGTCGATATTCCAGAAGAAGGTTATGATAACACTACTGGGGAATAAAGTTCATCTTCAATGGGGAACCATGAGTAAATCCTTCTTGAGGAGACCAAGTATTTACATTGCAAAATAAATGCACTCTCCATCTAGGTTTCACAGCCTAGAGATATTCACAGGGTATCGTTCACAAGAGACACAGCTCAATCCGGGAATAAACTAGAGAGAAAACAGTCAAACAAGACTCCATCCAATGAGGAAATAACTCAAATGGGGATTTATCCTATCCAGAGATGGAAAAGGAAAGCTAAAGCAAGATTCTTCCACGAGAGTTAACTCAGTGGGGAATTAGAAAAGAGGCGCACTTTCTGCTTAAGTTGACACTCTATTTGGAAAGATCAAATACGCTATTTGAATAGACATAACCAAGGTATACGTACTCAAAGACATCAACAAATACAACTGTGTATGCATGATGCAAGTGTGAATGAATAAATGAATGTCATGTATTATGCTGACAAAACAAATAGACAAAATAAACTGGAGATGATAAGACATCATAGCACAACCCAACACTCGGCTAATCTCAACAGGATGGGAACATTACTGGAGATAAAACACAGGCCATCATTGGAGCAAGGTCCTTTTACAAGGCTTAAGTATCTCTGGAGAGGAAGATATTTTTCGGTAGAAAGCCCAAAGTTCAGTCTTCTATCACTAACAATCCCTTGAAAGGATGACAACACAAACAAAGTTTCAGCTGGAAAGAAGTCTTGCTTAGCTGGAGATACTGGAACACCACCCTCTGATAATGTATGAAAAACATATCTTGATAAATCTGGATTGCCTCTGGGATTAATTTTGGATGCCCCAAGTTTATTGCTGATAAGCTGCGTGATGCACGATAATTCTTGCGAATAGCTTCACTTTTAACATGCCTCAAGCTATCTGGTTGATGAGGAGAAATCGTCTCAAGAGGATTTTACAAAAGACCTGGCATTCACCATGCTCTGGTGTCTTCAAACTCTTAGAGGAATTCATCAAATCTCGACGTGATTGCCCCGGATTGACTGTACTTGTCACAACAAAGTCTTCAAATTTTGCCCCAGAAAGAGTAAAGAAGTTGGGGAAAGCATTAACTAGGAGAAGCAACATGTTCATGCTTACGGTCTTCAGGTGACATGCCCATGGATACGATTTTTTCTTGACGTGATCCGTCAATTACTCAACATAGTTTCAGGCCTTAAAAGAATAAACTCATCACTGGTGCTTATGTGAGCTTCCTTGATATCAAACAAGTATTTTACAGTTAGAAAAAGTTTACAATGAGAATGAAAATTCTAATGCAACAGTTATGTAAGTCTTGAAGATTTTGAAAGATATCACACAAATTTTGCGAGTTAAAGCACCATTTATTTTTGTATAGGAAAAACATATGATACCAACATAACTATTTAGAACATTCATGGGAGTCAGGAACACTATCTCATTGAAGTATGCTTTCAAAATAACCTTGCTTCAATTAGGACTTTTGAAGGTTGTAACGTGGCCTGGTTCATGGTTTTTAGAAAAAAGATTTTTAAGGCTCAAAATATTTGGTGCCCACCCATTCTTCGTGATGTTCTCCAACCCTATGTTTAGTTAATTCAACATGAGTGTTCATCTCTCAAAAGGATTTTGTGACGGTCAAGGAAACGACGAGGCTTTCGGAGTAGAAACCACCCTTATGTCTTTGTGTTTGTAGTCACCAATTTGTTCTTTGTTGAGGACTTTTCTTTGTAGTCCTTTCTTTGCAATTTTTATTTTCCCTAATTTTTGCCTGAACTAATTTTTGAATTGATAGTCCAGCGGGATGCCTTAATTTTGCCTAAGTCACACGTTTTCATGTTTTTTGACTTAGCAGGCTTTTCTTTTTCTTGATTATTGACTTTTTGAACAAAATGTGTGACATTAGCTTGTATTTGCTTGTTGAGAAGATTGTGATTGCCTCGTTTCTTGATGAATGAGGGATAACATTGTGGTTCCACATCCTCTAGATTCATTATACATGAAGGATAACCCTCGTAGTTTCTCTTCAAAAAACATCTTCCTTATGAATTTCGAACACTCAATCAGATTAACTGAAAACTACCCTGCCCCAGGTTAAAATTCAAGGTTTTTTCATATAGGAAAGAAACTTCTGCTTCAAAGGCTCAAAAGGGGTTAGCAAGGGATTATCTTCCTTATATCTCTGGTGTTTAGGGATTAGAAACAATGCCTGGACATCATCAACAAGATTTTATCCAAAAGCAAACAGCCAGAGATTTTGTGTTCTTTAGATTATCATCCTCCCTTCAATCTCTGCCTAGGCAAGAGAATGGGAAACAAGTTGGTATCATAATGCAAAAAGAGATTTAAAATTTTAAAACAAATATGAGTGAAACGAATGAATTTCTTCAAGACAAACATACCCATTGTATTAAGATAATCATTCAGATGCAAACAAGTTCTTACATGCAAACAATGTTTTGATAACCAAGAAAAATTACAAAGAGCAGAAATAAGTTAATAATCTGGGAAGGCTTTCCATCTGGACTTGAATTACTGAAAACATCCTTCAAAAATCAAAGTCACCATCAATCATGTTTACTCTTCGGCGCATGCTTGATTTGAACTTCAAAACCGACGTCCTTGAATGACAAGATACCACTTCTGACCAACTTCTGAACCTCAATCTTCAAAGCAAAGCAACCCTCCAAGTCATGCCCAGGAGCACCTTGATGAAAAGTAAAAGCCAAATCAGCTTTGTAGTACCAATGTATCTTCTCAGGAACCTTCGGTGGAGGTCGGGTCTGAACCAAATTCCTCTGCATCAAGATAGGGAACAACTCTGTATAGGTAATTGGAATTGGATCAAACTGGGTTTTCTTCTGATTAGGAACTTGCTGATTCTGTTGATGAATAGGAGAAACATGATGATTTTGACGATGATTATTTCTTCCTCTGGTTCTCTTCTTGGAAAAGTTATTATCAAACTTCTTCATACCATTAGCTGAGCTACCATCTTCACATAAACATCCCTTTCAGACATCTTCTTCTAGACGCACTCCCACATTCACCTTGTCAGGAAAGTCACTAGGCGCATTAATTATCATCTTCTCATGAATGAATGATTTCAGAGTTTCAGTGAAGACTTTTATCATCGCTTCTTTCCTCCTAGAAGGATTGACTTGGGAGGCAACCAAAATTTCAACCAAACCAGTTAAGTGCTCCATACTAGCTTTCAAATTAGTCACCTCTCTGCGGAGTTCAGAAATCTCTTGCTTGATATTCTCCATTGTTCTCTTAGCGTCAGTGTTGTACTGGTGAGACCAAAGGAAAAATAAGACTTGGAAAAAGACCTTTGAAAGTGAAACAAAAAATGTAGAATGATGCATGATATGCAAAAGAGAGTTTTTATTTGATTTTCAAGGAACTCAAGATATTAAGTTGTAAACATCCAAGTATGAAGATAGAAGATGGATTTTAAATTGGCTCCAAACATTGATCGAGTTATCATCAAGATCAATCATCCATTTTGGTGGATTAGGGTTTTCTCCCTATCAACACCCAAGATCCATTGAGCTTGATGAAACTTGTGATGTTTACAAAGAAAGACCTCCAAATTCCTTCAAAGTCAAGTGAAAAGGGTTTTATGGATGCATGAATGCATGGCTATGAAACAACCACAAGCAAGGTCACAAATAAAGTCGAAAGGTTCAACGTCACGAGCATGGAGTCAAGGTAAGGAACACCCCCCAAGGTATGTACTAACGGTTTAATCACACCTGTAGAACAAGGTTCTAAGAGTTCCCGGAGTCTACATTCCTCCTTCGAATATTACCAACGTCTTGATTACTCAATAATCAGCAATATTCTCAAGAGAAACTCATCCGAGCGTAGCATCGCGTAACAATTACTTCCGGATTACTCTGTTATAATCTCCGCGCTACACCTAAAAGGCCAAGATGGGTTATGGTTCTACAGTTCCCAGCTTCTCTGGCTCCTAGGTAGAAAATAATAATGTCTTCCCGATTACTCGGTAAACAAATATTACGTTCAAAAGGGCCTTCCACTGAGTGGGGGATCTCATGCCTCCTTCTTCGGGATTACTCCCTCAAAGTTAACATGACTATACCGCCCGTCCTATTCCTAAGTGTAACTTAGTCCGAGTATAGGACTTGTCCTTTGTAAATATTATCAACACCCAAATAATCATAATATATACATATAATCAAACAATCAAATAATGATAAAACAGATAAAACAAATTAGGCTTAACCCACTTAGGGATGGACCAGCAGGAGGTCAATCTTTCCCCGGCAGTGTCGCCAATTCTGTAGCGGTGAAAATCGGAGATCAAGCTATTAATTAACTTGACTCACAAAAAGCAAGAGTCGCCACCGCGCTTTATTATTTC